GCCTCCTTGCCACCCGGTTGCGACATGATACCAATATAGCTCCCTCGGTTGGAGGCTGCCAACGGCACCGTAATGAAGACATTTGGAGGATACCGGCATGCCGTCCATCTCGGCGGTGGGACGAAATTTGAATGAGAGTTCGTCATCGCCGATGTCGCCACTCCGATTCTGGGCGCAGACTTCCTTGCGCATCACCAGCTGGCGGTTGACATGGGCCTCCAGGTCCTGCGGGATGCATCAGGCCAGGTTCGTGCCCATGGAACTCCGGCCACCATCCGCTCATTGGGACTGAGAGTCGTCTCCAGTGTGGCGCCTGAAGGTCCTCCCTACGCCTCGCTGCTTCGACAGTTTCTGCGGGTGACCAGACCCCCGACAAGTCCAGCTCCGGTGCGCCACTCTGTGACGCACCACATCATTACAACTAGACCGCCGTGTGTCGCGTGTCCACGGCGCTTGGGCCCGGATCGCTCTGAAATCGCTCGGGAGGATTTTAACAAACTGCGCAAGCTCGGCGCCCTGAGGTCATCAAGAGCAGCTGGGTCTTACCTCTGGCACTAGTGGTCCCGTAAATCCACTCACAGGAAGTGACCCCGGCCCCTGTGGTGACTATCGGGGCCGCTGAACGCTTGGTACCGTTCCGGACCGATATCCGGTGCCTTGTCTGCAGGACTTTGCCGATCACCTCTACGGCTGCAAGTTTTTTTCCAAGCTAGATCTTGATCGCGCAAATAACCAGATCCGGTGTGGAGACCATCGGATGTGCCGAAGGACCGCCATCACAAACGCCATTTGGTCTTTTCGAGACGATCCGATTGCCATTTTGGTCTTCGAAATGCAGCCAAACCTTCCAACGATTCATGAATGAAGTGCTGCATGGAGTGCCAGGGACATTTGTCTACTTGGACTGACATTCTGGTCGCCAGCAAGTCGGATCCCGAGCATCTCGAACACCCTTTCAATATGGTCCTCGAACGACTCGACAAGTTTCGGGCTGGTCCATCGATGAAAAAAGTGTGCTCCGGGACCGGGGGAAGCTCAGTTCCATGGGCCATTAAGTCACTGAGCTCGGCGTCGCCCCCCTTCCAGACCCAAATATCTGCGGTGCAGGATTTTCGCAACCAACCACGGAGAACCAGCTCTGGTGTTTTCATCGGAATGGTGGCTTATTATCATCGTTTTGTGCCGGACGCCGCTGCTCTTCTGGCCCCACTCACCAGTCTGCTCAGCAAAACGGCTTCGAAGACGCCACTGTCCCATCACCTGGTCCGCCGACGCTGAGCAGCATTTCGTCGGATCAAGCAGCAGGTTGGCGCAGGCTACCCGACTCGCGCACCCGACCCGGGTGAACTCGTAAGTCTGCAAGTCGACGCTTTCAGCACTGGCGTTGAGCGGTTCTCCAGCAGTTCGTGGCTGGCCGTTGGGAGCCGCTGTCGTTCTTCTCGAAAGAGCTCTCAAGCCTGGCGGGGACTCGGTACAGCACCGTCGGCCGGAGGAACTGCCTTGCCGTGTACCTGGCGATCCGGCGCTTCCGGCACAGCGTCGATGGTCGGAACTTTGCCATCTTCACGGATCACCAGCCCCTGGTGTCCGTGATCGGGTCAAAACTCTGACCGTTACCTCGCCCAGGGAGATCCGGGCCACTGGACTCATCGGGCAGTTCTCCACTGACGTCAGGCACGTACCAGGGAAGGAGAACACTGTGGCTGACGCACTTTCGCGGACAATCGCCATGCAGCAGGCACCGCAGCCCCAGCTGGACGGCCTGGATAACTTGGCGGACGCTCAAGGTCAGGATGACGACCCTTCAACCTTCATGAACTCATCGCACTCGCTGGGCCCTGCGGAATGTTCCGCTTGTACAAAGTGGGCCGCAGCTCGTGGTGGATGAGTCTACGGGCAGGCCCCGGTCCCCTAGTACCAGAAAGCCTCCGTCGGCAGCCTAGTACTTCCGGCTTCTGCACGGCCTGGCACATCTGGAAGTTCGGGGCACACAAGAACTCGTCTCCCCAGCGGTTTTTGTGTGGCCCTTCTATGCGCCTAGGACATCAAGGAGCGGACACGGGTGCACCTCTGTCTCAACGTGCGAAGATTCATCGGCACACCACGGGCACCCGACACACTGTTTCACGCAACCGGACGCTCGATTTGACGCCGTCCACATTCGACATCGTCGGCCCCCGCTGCCCCCGTCGGATGGTCACACGTACCTCCCTTACGTGCATCGACCGGTTTTACCCGTGGGTAGAAGGGCAATCCCTGTGGCGGACATCCGGGCGGTCACGATGCCAGCGCCTTCGTCGCCGTCTGGGTGGCCCGGTTTGGAATTGCCGGCGCAGGTCACCACTGACCGCCGGTGCCCAGTTTGAGTCCGGCCTGTGGCAGCTCCTGTCAGCGCTTCTTGGCTGCACTAGGCATCACACCATCAGATACCACCCGCAGAGTAACGGCATGTGGAGAGGTTCCACCGACAGCTGAAGACAGCTCTGCGGGCGGCAGATGTGGCCACTCGTTGGACCAATCTCCTACCACTGGTTCTGCTGGGCGTGCGTTCAGCTCTAATACAGGACCTGGGTTGCACGTCTGCGGAGCTCGTCTACGGTACAAGACTCCGGCTTCCAGGGGAGTTCCTCAGTCACCAACCCTGCACGGTACTGCTGGACCCGGCGTCCTACGTCGACCTCCTTCGGCGAGTCACGCGGCAACTCCGCCGGTGCAGCCACACCGGCAGCCATCGACGAAAGCCTTCATTCCTGAAGACCTCTCGGTCTGCACCCATGTTTTCGTCCAGAGAGACGCCTCACGCATTCCGCTAGAGCCGCCCTACGACGGCCCATTCCACGTGTGCAGGCGGTCATCGAAGACAGTGACCATCCGGCGCAAGGACAAAGAGGAAATTGTCTGTCGATCGCGTCAAGCCAGCTTTTCTTCATCCACTACCGATCTACGAGACGCCGTCCGGGCCAGCTCGCCCGCCGGCTGCAGACGCTGTTCCTGTAGATGTCCCGCGGCTGCTGCTGTTCCCGTCGCCAGAGCGGCAAACTCAGGACGCTACCCCGTGCGTGCCTGCGCGGGACGGGATGCCTCCGGATCCCCCCGGAAGCCAGCCGCCGCCGCCGCCCAATAAACCCCAGTGCTCCTCGCCAACTGAGGACGGTACTGGGCACCCAGCTCGTCCGGCCGTCCGCACGCGCTACGGCCGCGAAGTGGTCCCCCCAGTGCGTTACGGCGTTCGACGTCACCTTGTCACCTTCCGATTGTGACACGTCTGGGGAGGGGGTGGTGTAGCGGCACGAGGTCAAAACCTAGTGTGGGCCACCAATAGGTGGCGCCAACGAGTGCTGTTGTGTGTGTGGTATTGCGCTTCGGGTGAGAACTGTGTTCGTCCCCCCAGCTTCGCTGTTCAGTTAATGCTAGTTAATGATATAAGTGATATGCCCACCACAGAACGTTCGACAGTATGACCACTGTTTGGGCGCTATTGGCATATTGAAGGCCGAAAGTAGGGAGATGTTTCCTTCTGTCAAGTGTGGTAGTCGAGCCCATCCCTATCGCCAATATACTACTTGTAAAACCTGACAGCGCGGTGCTTCTTGCTATTCGTGATCCGTCCTTCTCTGGACGCGCTTCCCTGTCTGTCAGTCCGGGCCGGCATCACCTCGATGCCGGCACCGAAGTTACAAACCGGACCAGCACGACCAACTCGGAAGTGCTAGTCCCGGCCACTCGGCCGCAACCAGCCGGTTGACAGTCCGAGTCCTGAGGTGCGGCTGATCACGCTTGTGTCGCACCGCACAGGGGGTCGGGTTGTTAACTGAAGAAAACAAAGGGCAGCTACTGCCACATTTTCTCTTTCGTCGCCGAAGACAGTGACGTGCGCGACAAAAGGGTAAATTGTGTATAAAGTGAATAATAGGACCGACTACAAAGGGACTAACGAGGTACCAGTAGCAAAACAGATTAGCGAGCACCGGCAAACAAATAAGCCATACGAACATCGACAAAAAAGTGAACAATAGGGTTAACCACGAAGTACAGTTACCCTGGCTTCTTTGGATTTCCTCTGAAGGCTCTACGCGGTTATTAACGTTATTGGGGCGCAATCTACTAACATGCCGCTGCACCCTTGATCGACCAGGGCATCTCCACGGATGCTTCTCATTCGCCCGAAGGCTTTTTGGTCGAAATTTCGCCCGAAGGAGCCATATAAGTAGACGCACTGAGACATTCGATGCTCAGCGTTGTCCACATTGGTCTTGGGCCATTTCCCTTTGATGTCAATTACGAAGGATCCTTCGCTCTTCTCGGGGTCTTCTCTTTTCACCTGTCCGGGCATTCTCGATCGCATAGGGGCCCGCCGCAATGGCCTTGCGCACTTAACATGTACTTGGAGAAGCCTGCGCTGCTGTCCAGGGCCCGATGCGTTCGTCTGCCCAGGTATTCTCCATCGCTCAGCGGCATTAACCCGTGTACTTTGATCTAGGACTCCTCCCGTTTGGTCGGAGGACCATGCGCTCTGGTCGGGGCCCCACACGTTAACCTACCGGGGCACTCTTTTGCTACTACCTGGGGCACTACGATTGGTACCACGAGTACCAATCAATACTAAAATGTCGAGATTTTGTTAGCGCCGCTGGAAGTTGGTGTTGCCAGCGCCGCATGAGCTACGTCTGTCGATGAACAGGACGGATCAGACCGGACCACGCCGAGAGACGTGCCACAGGTAACCGCCCGGCGTGTCTGTCGATGAACAGGGCGGATCAGACTGGACCATACCGAGGGACGTGCTACAGGTGGCCTTGGTGGTTGCTCTTCCATACACAAGCATGTTTGTCAAATAACCTCTCAGGATATCTGGTGGCTTCGCACGGCTGTAAACAACTCGCGCGAAACAGGCCACGCTGGAGCAAATCCTTTCCGCTTGAACTCGAGCTCCGGGGCGGCGCCAGGCACAGATAGCAGCGCGCAGCTGAGCTGAGCTGATGTAACGGTCCGGTTCGGACACTGCGCTCAGCATGAGTAGGGTGTCTTATCTTAACCGTTCAATCAAGGAACGATTAAGCTAATAACAGTCATAAGTGGCATGTGGCGCTTGATCCGCGCATGCCAGTCAAGGCAAAAACATGCGCGAAGGACCAGCCAACAAGGATGATAACAACCGAAGTGGCAGTGTATGTCATGCTAATACCCACCCAGTTTAGATCTTGCTTTAAGAAGGAAGCACATAAGAAAAATCAACCTCTTTGCAACGGCTTTAATTTTTCATAACACCGATTTCTCCCCAGCTCGGGACACCTTTAATCCGCTAGTGGGGCTGTTGACGCCGCCGCCTCCGAGCTTCCACCAAACCTGTCAGCCAGGGTCCGCAGTAGGGTTGCCTGGTTCCGAGGGCTTATATCGCCATGTTCGTCCAGAAAAGCACCAGTTTTGCCACCAAACTGACCGGGAATGGCAATTTCCAGTCCTTACCCAGTCGTCTGGCAAAGCTACATGATGCTTTTTAACATGCGTAGGGCACGTTGACAGCTCCAATATAATTGACATGCAGGCCGGTATTTATGTAAGAGAGAAATTGGCTGCAGAGGCCGCTTATACCGCTGACCGCATGGCCGAGGGTATAGGTCAAGGACTGGAGTCCCGTGGCACCAGATTCAAGTCCCTGAAAAGTGAACTGTTGGATACAGTCGCTGTTTAATGGTCAGCTGGTGAATAGCCAGAGAGGGTCAGCGCAAAAGACGGATAAAAAATCGGACACTGTTGGGTTGAAATTGCGCTTTTTGGCATGTGCTCCCGGCGCAGCCAACAATCACTTTTTAGCATGCACTCTGAGACCAAGCCACCAACGCGTCATTACATTTCTATACAAACCTTGAGGCCATAGTCCCACGAACCAAGGCGGCGCCGCAAGGGGGTGGGCAGTGGGGTGGCAGAGATGGCAATTGTCTCAACTTCGCAGGCGGGGCTGAGTATGTTTTTGCCCCTTAACACCTGGGAAGCCCCTTTGTCCAAACTGAAGTTTTTTTCAGCTACACATATGTTACCGAAACTCAGGTCAATGTGCTCCTCTTCACTTAACTAGGTGGCACAAAATCACAATCAGAATAACTTTTATTGATCAAGAAGTCAAGTTTCTCCATCTTATACACACGCAAACACACACGTACACACACACACACACACACACACACACACACACACACACACACACACACACACACACACACACACACACACACACACACACACACATATATATATATATATATATATATATAATATATATATATATATATATATATATAATACATATATGCACATATCATGGAGAGCTATGCGCAAAACAGCTGGCTTGAGAGGTCCCATTTGTGAGCCGAAAAGATCCTGCTCTGGATTAGAATGTCGCGCGCTATGTATCAGGAGGAGGTTACTGGAATGGGAGATACTGATTTAGAATACGAAGAATCGTTGCTAGATCGAGAGGCCCGGTATCAATCAAAAGGTCTGCTATTGTCAATAATCAATTGACTTTATGTGGACATTTTTAGAAATCAACGGCCTTTTTCAATGCTATCGGCAGTCGCCAAATGTCCAAGAAAATCGCCAGTTTGACGACCTGCCGTCACAACTGGCAGCCCTTCTCCGCAGGCTGCGCGCCTCAGTATAAACTTGGCCGCTCCGTGCTGCAAGCTCGCTGTTTCGTTCCTTCCCGCTCACCGTGAGTGTCAGTGTATCTGTGTTCCCTTGCTCCTTTAGCTCCTGCAAGGTATTTGAGTGCGCGCATTTGTGCCTATACGCCGTCCATAAAATACGTTGTGCACGAGTGGCGGGGCATTGATGGAGCGTCAGGGAGCTAGAAACTCATTTGAACTAGGGTGGGAGTGAAAAATTTCACCGCAAAAGGCTGTGCGGGAGTGAAAAAAATCAATTAACAAAAGGTGAAACTTATGAGCTCGTGACTGATGCTTCAGCAAACAAAGACAGTTATTTCAAGGTGGCATGGACGTAACATCCGGAACCTGACAAAACGATTTCGTTTTTTAACATCTTAGGCCATTCAAGTAAAACAGAATATATTAACACGAGCTCGGATGGGGGGGGGGGGCAAATTGACTCCCCGAGGGCTTTTCCCGAATGGTTTCTAAACGGCGCGGCGTAGCCGTGCCAAATTTTGCATGGGTTTAGAAAATCGCATAGCGGATCGTTTGACATACAAATTTTATATGTACCTTGTGAGGTCGCTGACCTATGACAGGTCAAAGTCAACCCATGGTTTCAGCGAAAGCAATTCCAGGGAATCCCTCAACCTGATCCAACAACGAAGTGTTTGACGAAGACATACTTCTCAGATATGTTTTCTTAGGCACCACAAACATTCAGTGAGTAAATTACATTGACCTTAGGTCAGGTATGAAGGCTAGACCATTGTCAAAACCAACCTGATTTATTTCTCTAGGGCTGGCTGTATGCGATAGTTTCTGGTGCTTATTTCGAATTTATTGACAGCAGGAACTGCATTATACATCTTCAATTGACTTCTTAAAGGTCAGAACAGGCCAATGACCTAAGATGACCCGGGTCAATTTTTTGTTTCAGGAACATACTGCCTAGCATAATCTTTGTCGCTTATTCAAATGCAAAACTCAGAGCGGTCTTGCATTATTTGGTCACCATGACCTTCAAAGGGTCAAACAGGGTCAATGAACTCAAATGAGCTTGTGACTCTTTACTTCGACACAGTTGATTAGGTTCTGGGAGGCGCTTTGGAAACCAGCCTGGAATTTGACCTTGTTTGACCTTTGTTGACCTGAAGATCATGACCTAGGAAGCTGAAACCTTAAACTAAATGAGTTCACGTTTAGTTCAAGACACCCTGTAAATTTGATATCTCTAGCTTTTTTAGTTCCCGAGATCTCAGAGGGAGGGTGGGGACAAATTGCCCCCCCCCCCCCCACCCGAGCGAAGGGTATCTAGCCGGCCAACCGGGCGCGTGTTAAGGCATAGTTATTTCATGACAGTATTATGAGCATAACAAACTATTGACACCAATAATTTGATGCTGCACTTTTCAATTGTCTTCCACAGCACTTTGAAAGCAAACAAAGCAAAGGAATTCAACAAGAAATTAACCACAGAAAATTCAATAAGCATAAAGCACTCAATTAAAACAGAAAACGGCAAATTCTAGTTACCAATCACGTGTTAAAAGCAGGTGAGGTAGGCAAGTACTTGGTCCACAGGAGACTTACTGGCTTCTTCCTCCTCCCCAAAAACCAAAATGTCAGGACATTTTGCATGGTCTGCTGGCAGAAGAGTCATCTCACTCACCCCCAAATATAAATATCAATCATGCCCACCAGCCTACGAGACTAAAATGCGAAACAAGTAAGAGGTGTGCATGATAAACATCTACAGAGGACAGAATTTCGCCATCAAACACTTCTGTGTTGGATGCGTCAGGTCTGCCCCAAGGCTCTGTATGGTAGCATTAGCATGGCCTTGCCAGGTAGCATGGTGAGGCAGACACTCAAAAGGCTTAGATTTATCATTATTGAGCACCGCCATGAACCAAGAGAAGGGTAGTAACCGAGGGTCTAATGGGGCAAAAATGGTGATGAAAATAAGTTTCGTGCCTCACATTGTCTCCTTTATTCCCCGTGAATTGTTCACGCTTGGGTGCATATCAAACATGTTTGGGCGGCTGGCGAATTCATCCAATTTATACATGAAATATTTACAAGTTTGCAATTGGAGCATCTTGCAGAGAAATTGGTCAAAATTTGAAGCAGCAGATGGTACCTCTTAAGTCAGTCGAAAAGGAAGGAAGAGCTAAGCGGTATCACACTCACATGATACCAAGAAAAACAAAAGTAGCTAGCTAAATATTAATACTGACACCTTTCCCCAAAATTTTGTAATCAGCTGATCTGACTTAAAATATGTTAATGGAAGTGCTCGAATGGTGATATTCATCTTGTAACTGTAATTTAGAAGACATCTCTCGAACTTTTCACTCCTTCATTTTGGAAGTGCTGCAATTTAGTGGTCAAGTTTCCTCGGGGAAAAGAGATACGTGGAGTAAAATTCTCTACCAGGCCTTGCTGGTATTTGCACCAGGCTCTGCTTTCGTGGTGTGGTGGTGAGACCAAAAAAAGATGGGGATGAGTGAAAACCTTGCATTTTGTGCACAGCTGCAGATTGTGGTGCATTTTGTAAACAAACCAAACTTTATGCGTGTAAGCGGCTGGGGTCGCTGGGATTCTTGGACTTGGAAGCAACTGGCGCCCTTGCTCTGTGCATACATAGACATGATTCAGATGTAGGTGAGGCAGGACATAGCCGTAGGTGTCCAGGTTCTGTGTAGCCTCGTTTATGCTTGGTGGTTTCAAGTCAGCTCGGTTTTGGATGACATCTGAAAACTTCAGGAAGGGAAATAGGGGTTTGACATGTGCGACTAGACAATGTCAGGCAGGAGAAATAAATTCCTCCTCATAGGGTGTTAGTTTACACCCAAAGTCAGCAATTCTAGGACACTGTGCAGCGTGATTGAAGCTCGACAGGAGGGGCTGCACGTAAAGGCCTTCGCGTGTAACATTTCCTTTGCCAATGCACGTGCCACCCATGGGACCTTGCCCGTACATACACGTTGCCCATTGGCATAAAATTGCCACCCGTATCCCACGTGTTAACATTTTTCAGCATTTTAGTTATAAGTTATGGAAAAATTTGTGCAAAGTTGGCACTCAATTTTGCTCTGGCATTGATGTGAATAGAGAAAATTATGGCTAAGAGAAGAGCAAGTGTTTTGTAGCGTTTTTTTTTAAAGAATCTACTTGATGTTTCACAAACTTTGTAATACGACCACAGGTAACGTCAAAGTAGCGAGTGCGGACGCAGGTAATGTAATGAAATATGAGCCAAGGGCGTAGTTTTGCAAAATGAATTAGGGGTGGGGTGGGGGCTGAACATTGCAAAATAACCCAACCTGCCCCGAAACATGCCAACTAACGTGCTTCTCCTGGATATTGCCGACTTTCCTCCCAAAGTAAGGGTGCCTGAAACCCAATTGGGGGGGGGGGGGCAACTGCGTAGAAAAAGCCCCAACTGCGCAGAAAACTGCATCTCTGATGTGAACCAAAGCTGGCCCGTTGCCCGCTGCACATCTGCACACTTCTTCGGTCAGGGTCCGTCTGTACGTCCGTCCATCCGACCGTCGCATCTTGCGTTACATCGTGCCTGACCGAACGTTGGGTTGCTGAATGGCGAAATTTGAGCGCGACTCGCGGACGCACGTGACGGGCTCACACAGCAAGCTCGCGAATCACTGCAGTCCGGGATTCGGGCGTGGCACGTGCCGGAAGGGCCGTTTCAGGTCATTGGTTTTGCACGGGCGGCCTGAAAATGTTCGTTCATATCCGTTCAAAACCGCGGCCATGTCTTGGTAGATAGGGCTTGGGGGGACAAGTAATTGGCACGTCTTGACGAGAAAGCGAAAGGGAATAGTGGTGCTTAAAGCATGCGATTGCACGCGCACGCACGCAGAAGCGGCAAAATGGATTTGGTCCGTTTAATTTGTTAGCATTTTGTGGCCAAGTCGGCAGGTCATAGCGGGTGGAGGCGCCGCGCCGCACACACACACACAACACACACACACACACACACACACACCACACACACACGTATGCATATCATCTATGTATAAAACTTAGTATAATATACAATAAATATACATATACATATATATGTATGCATATATATATATATATATATATATAATATAATATATATATATTATATATATATATATATATATCTCTCTCTCTCTCTCAACTCGATCATCTCTGCTCTCTTCCTCTCTCTCTCTCTCCTCTCATTCTCTCTCTCTCTCTGCCTCTCTCTCTCTATCTGTCTATCTATCTATCTATATATATATATATGTCTATATCTATATATCTATCTATCTATCTATCTATCTATCTATCTATATCTATATCTATATCTATATTTAAACATCACCACACTGGTCCCAATCTGTTCTTTAATTGTTACCCATGCATGGTTTGACATGGTGCTTTTTCTTCCACGAGATCCTGTTGCCGCGCCATAGACCGATGGACGGGTCATGTCACGCTGGTAACCGGTGCCAGCTCCGGTATCGGTGCTGCCATCTGTCGGGAGCTGGTGAAGCAGGGCATGACGGTGGTCGGTTGCGCCAGAAACGACGAACGGATCAAGGTTTGTGAGCACAGAGCAGACACTCGCTCAGTGCCGCTTTAGTTGCGAATGAAGTTTGCAAAACCACGACTGATCCATTGAAATGTGTACACACAGACGGCCAAACACAGGCATGATGTTGACTGAGTATATTAGAGAATAGTAAGAAAACTTTCTTGGTATTTTACAACAAACGTCCTTTCTTGTGCTGATTTTAGTCAAAGCGGGACGAATAGAGCCAATTGTGCGTGAACGAAGCTCAAACAATAACATTTTGCGGTATTATTTATTGCTGTCGTTTTAAGCGTGGACACCACACCCGTATTTCACTTAACTCCTTACACATCGCAGCTCGCTACCCTTCCCATACCGATGTTCGTATGGGTTTGCCCCATCCGTGACTTCCTATACGATGACGTGTTGACCACAGTAGCGACTCGGGGCGGCCGACCAGACTGCGTTCCTCGCATCCAAGTCGACTGCATTGATCTGCGAGCATGCAGAGAATGCAAACTGATGTACTGATGATATATAATAGTGGTGATGAACTGAGACAAAACTAAGCAAATTAGACCGACAAGGTGTGCAGAGGATGGGAGCTGAACACAAAGCATGGCGACTTGGCCGATTGTGACGTATAGCACCCAGCAGGTGACGTCTTGTGAAGCAAAATGACGTCACGTGTGACATATTAACATCCAACTGTTTGCTTTTGATCCGTGCTCTTACTGCTGCGGAGTTTTTATTGAAATACAGATGATTTGAAGTCTCAAACTTGAAGCGAAGAATAGCAGCTTTCCGATTCAGGAAAAATGAGGTGGGATGACCTGGAGTCATAATCGATTAAACTCGGAGATTTACAGGTCATATTAACTGCACTTGCTACATAGTCATCAGGAGCATATATATATATATATATATATATATATATATATATATATATATATATATATATATGAAGTTTAATGAGGAGTGAATTATGCCAATCAATTCAGCAAATCTATTGTTGTGCAGAAAAGACCAGTACGACTGATTGAACATTCGCATTCTCCTCATAGCTATAAACTTCACCCCAATGGTTCAGGATGTTAAAGTTGGAGGATATTGCAAAATATCAAGTGTTCAATGTCATGCATAGATTCCAAGCCAAGCTGTTCCCAGTACCCTTTCACGCTGCGTGTAAAGCCCAAGAAGACGTTCATCATAACACAAGGCAAATAAAATACCTCGATAAAACATCGCTAATCGGTAACTGTCGACGTTTTATCACTTCTCGTCTGGGACCTAAATTATGGAAGGACATGTTAGCACCTCAGTTAAGAATGTCATGTTAGCACCTGAGTACTGCGGTCGCAATTCCAGACCGTAGGGGGGGGGGAGCATCCGTGATTAGATAGATCTCTGATGTTTTGTCCGACGGGACCAATGGCGTCAGTGTTTTCCCTACAGACCCTGCAAACCGGCCGGACGGGCCGATAGCGCAGGGCCCCGTCCCCCACAAGGGACCGATCGCGCAGGGTCCCGTCCCCCACGAGGAGCCGATCGCGCAGGGTTCCGTCCCTCCCCACGAGGGGCGATCGCGCAGGGTTCCGTCCCTCCCCACGAGGGGCGATCGCTCGGGGTGGTCTCTGGCATGGATGCGCGGACCCTGCATTCATGACCGACGGGGTCGACAGCACGGGCTTTCCGGCCCATCGGAGCCACGATAGCGCTCCTTCATCACTAAGCATAACATAATGAGCCCAAGAGGGTTCTAACGCGCGTACAGCACAGTCAAAATGAAAAACATGTGTGGGTGTTTCTATCGGCGTGTGCATGCGCGTGTGCGTGAGCATGTGTGTGAACACGAGGTTGTGGGTGCGTGGGTGCGCATTTGCGTGTGTGTATGCGCGTGCGTGTGTGTGGGTGCGTGTGTGCGTGTTCGTGTGCGTTTGCGCGTCTGTGTGTACACGAGCGCGCGCGCGTGCGTTCGCTCGCGCATGTGCGTGTGCGTATGCGTGACCACCTACAGGCCAGAGGGGGCTCTCCGCAGTCAACAATGGGCCCTCCACTGGTCAGAATGAGGCCTTTGCAGGCCAGGACGGGCCCTTCACTGCTAATAATGACTTCTCTACGGGCCAGAATCAGCGCTTTACAGCCAAAAGTGAACCCTCTACAAGCCTAAATAGACCCCTGCGCATGCCAGAATGGACCCTCCACAGTCGGTAATGACCCTTCAACAAGTCAGAATGAGGGCTATACAGACCAGAATTATGAGAACTACAGTCGATATTGAATCTTGTACAGGTCTGACACTGAGTCCTCTAAACGTCATAATGGGGCCTCTACAGGTCAAAATGGAGTTTTAAAGGCTTACATAATTCCTTTGCAGTTCATAACACCCTTAACCTAGCATTTCTTTTTTTTAGCACCTAGCATTTCATTCACCCCTAACATAGCAGGATGGGCCATCCACAGGCCCTTCAAATTGGGGAGGGGGAGGGTGAGCTGTCTCACTGTCACCCCTCCCCCGGTTCCTATGTCCTAAAAGGGCTCACCTTGGGCTTTAGCTGCCTCCTCAGGCTCGAGCGCAGTTTTTACCACCGCACTTCTAACTACAATTTCTACATCTGGTGATCAGGAAATCTACTTTGGTTCAAATTTGAAGTGATTTAGCAGCAAGACTAGCGGACAGCCGATCGGATATTACAGTTTGCGGCTGAACGACTGTTTAGGACACCAGGGCAAACTAAGAGCGGTAGCTCACAAGCAAACACCAGGGCAAACTAAGAGCGGTAACTCACAGGCCAACACCAGGGCAAACTAAGAGCGGTAGCTCACAGGTAAACACCAGGGCAAACTAAGAGCGATAGCTCACAGGCAAATACCAGGGCAAACACCAGGGCAAAAAAGAGCGATAGCTCGCAGGCAAACACCAGGGTAAACTAAAAGGGATAGCTCATTGAGGCGCCAGGCGTTTGTCCATTTCATCGTTTGTGGTGGTCTGTAAGTTCGTTCGCAGTGCGTAGAGACTGTCAATGAGGCTGAGACTAGCTCGTAAAAAATCGCCACGCTGCAAATCATGGTAACCCTCGTCGCAATTCTGGTTGCGCCGCTGCATGGAAAGTTCGGATATCGTCATCTAATGCTCACAGTATGACGCCTCCTTTTCAAATTCTGGATTCTCACGCCCAATAACAAACATTCGACATGTGTACCAGGAGGGACGGGTGAAAAGGAGATGTCTGAAAATCACTGAAATACATTTGTGAGCTATATAAGCTGGAATATTTCCAATAACATTCAATGACCGCCTGCTATTTTCCTTTTGACCAGCTCCTGGTATATTACTAGATATCCGAAAAACTCACAATGTGCAAAGCCAGTAGTATGTGTCTTTTCTTAATGGATACTCTCCCTTTGTCAGATGTTGATCTGCTTGCCACATCTGACGTGATAGCAGCACTGCCATTTCTGCATAATGTCGTTGTAGCACAATCAAAGTCACTACTACCCAGAGCAATATTTTCGTCTGCTGTATTTGTTTAGGTTGTTATGCAGTTTACTGAAATCACAAGTTTGTCGTTCGATGAGTTCCACGGAGATTCAAGACTAGACATAATTTATGCTCAAGGTTGGCACAAGCGAATCAAGGCTCTCAATGTCCTCCCAATCCATGCATCTCTTGCATCGCACTTGATTGGCTAGCCGTTGCGTGCACACTGTGGGTGTTTCATGAACTTGCTTTGGTGACGTGCAGATGCAGGGAAATGCGAAGGTGCCGTAGATAATACGTGTAATATGATGTACCCGGTAATGGTGTTATTCCCGTAAAAATACCGAAGAATGATTAAATGTTCTGGCAGCCATCCGCTCTTCAATCTGCAAGACATTGTCGCCCTCGCCATGGCTCACATGAAATGCCTGGAACTTGCAAGCTATCGCATCTCCACATTGCAACACAATATTTCTGACATACATTTGCACAGTATGTCAACATGATATGACAAAACTGTGATCATATGCCTTTCTGCAGTTGGTGGGGTTGATAAGTTATCTTTTTGCAACTGGTACACAGTTGTTCGAGAAATTATTAAGGGTAAGACTTTTCCAGTGGCTTCGAATTCCTTTACAATCTAATTTAGGAGTCGGTCATGTGCCGTTCAGAGGTGTGTGAAGGCGCCGGCGCTGTCTGCACCAGCGAGCGAGGTGGTCTTCACTCGGGCCATGTGACGGGCAGGTTCCGATGACGGGGTGTGCTCCGGTCTGACCGTTGCAGGAGATGGCCGCCGAGCTGCAGGGCTGCGCCGGCTCCTTGACGGCCATGCGCTGCGATCTCAGCCAGCTGGACCAGGTCGACGCTATGTTCCGCACCATCGAGCAACAGTTCGGCGGCGAGGATGTCTTGATCAACAATGCCGACCTCAACTTCGGCCGCTGGCTGCTGGATGGTTCGGCAGAGAAATGGCGCGCCATGCTGGACGTCAACGTGCTGGCGCTCGCGCACTGCGCTCAGCTGGCCGTCAACAACATGGCCGCCTGCGAAGTTAGCGAGGCCCAGGTGATCAACATCTGCAGCCGCGCCGGACACTGCGTGGACGACTGGCCCGATCTCCACTTCTGCACGGCGACCAAGTACGCCGTGACTGCGCTGACGGAGAGCCTGCGCCAGGAGGTGGCTGCTAAGAAGATGCGGATCAGGGTCGCGGTACGTACCCGGGCCACCATGATGCATCTGTCGCTGCGGTTTTCATATTCGCACTCTGACCCTAGTACGCTGCCGTTGCATGTGTCAAGATGACGTGTGATACATTATATCTGACAAAACACAACACAAGCACGGGGGATTACGGGATGGTAGGTGGTTGGATTGGCAGATTAACCTGTAAAAGGAAACTTCGACTACGAAGTTTCGTCCAGCTTTACTCGCTGGTTGATGCCAAGGAGACGCGGTTATTATCGAATCCCTCTGGGTAAGCCTGTATGACGCATCAGAACCTGTAATCACTCTCTTACGCCTTGCAAGACACCGCATAGGTCCGTTCGTGACTGACGCCATTCCTATGCGGATGCGACGGCTGGGCTGGGGATGACACCCGGATCAGTCAACCCCGTAATAATCGTATCTTATGAGTGGGTCGGCCCACCAGCTATCTCCAACGAGCGCTCCTCTCTGAGGTAAGCGTTTGCCACTTTAGAGCAAACGAACGGCATTGCAAGGGTGACGTCTGTGAGTACAATTGGGAAGGTAATGTCACGCAAATGCCATGTCTCAGTTATTACTTAACACGCGCCCAGGTGGCCGGCTAGACACCCTTCGCTCGGGTGCGGGTGGGGGTCAATTTGCCCCTCTGAAGTCTCAGGAACTTAGAAAGCTAGAGACATCAAGTTTACAGAATGTCTTAATCTGCACGCGAACTCACTGAGGCCAAAGTTTCAGGTTCCTAGGTCATGACCTCCCGGTCAAGCAGGTCAACCAAGGTCAAGTTCCAGGTTGGTCTCCAAAGCGCCCCAGAACATAGATAGTCGTTGCTAAGCAAAAGGTCACATTCTCATTCAAGGTCAGTGACCTTGTTCGACCTTTTTGAGGCCAAGCTGACCAAAATCATACAAGATTGCTTTGAGTTTTGCATTTGGCTAAGCGACAACGATTACGCTAGGCAGTATGTTCCTAAAACAAAATGTTGACCAGGGTCATTTTAGGTCAATGATCTATTATGACCTCTAAGAAGTCCGTGGAAGATGTATAATGCGGTTTCTGCTATCAATAAACTCGAAATGAGCACCAGAAACTATCCCATACAGCAAGCCCTAGAGTAACAAAACAGGTTGGTTTTGACCTGGGTGTGACCTTCATACCTGACCTTAGGTCAATGTAATTTGCTCATTCAACTGTTGTGTTGCCTAAGAAAGCGTCCCAGAGATGTATGACTTCGTCTAACACTCCGTTGTTGGATCAGATTGAAGGATTCCCTAGAAAATACCTTCGCTGAAACCATGGCCTGACTTTGACCTGCCACAGGTCAGCGACTTTGCAAGCTACATCTAAATTTGTTATGCCAAACGATCTGCTATTCAATTGTCTAGAGCTACGCAAAATTTGGCACGGCTACGCCGCGCCGTTTGGAAACCATTCCGGAAAACCTTCGGGGGGCAATTTGACCCCCCCGGGCACGTGTTAAAGCTCTCACCTCAATAAGAACTAGGGCGCGAACGGTTGTAAAATACTTGGAAAGCTACCAAATCTTTGGCCAATTATAACCTTCAAGTACATTAAATCAAAATCGTGTGACTGCCACATGACGAGGCACTGGCCTCAAAAACATCGAATACGCATCGCAGCGTGATTTAAAGTACCATAATAGGCAAACCTCCTACGCATTACAAGGAATCGACACAGGGCCTTCTGGAAGTCTGAGTCAAGACTTGAGAAAATTACAAGACCAAAATCCTGTCCCCAGTATATTGAAAGTTTAGCTAACGCGAGGCAAACTTACCACCTGACGTCTTCGCACCATTCACACGCGTTATAGAACATCACTCTAACACACATAAGCCACGTTAACTTGCTTGAAGAAAGTGATCCATTCTACATCGACGGCTGATTTACAATTTGTGAAGAGCCTAAATGAAAGATGGTCAAGCGCTGCTAGTGACCACTCCAGGGCCATGCCATTTTGCGTACGTTGAAAGAATGGCTAGAAGTCACTGGAAACCCTTATTCAAATGCCTAAAAAGCTACAGACGGAAATCTCACGGTTTAGGACTATTACATTCCCCTACATCCGCGCAGAAATGAGGTTATGATTGGTATCATGCATTTTCAGCAAATCTCGCCCGGCCTTGTGAACACGGACATTGCCAACCGCATGTTAGCCGACAAGCAAGAGGCCTGAAAGTTGATGGAAGTGGGAATGGACCCGAGCGTTGTCGCCGACGCTGTCGTCTGTATCATGTCCGCTCCTAAGTCTGTCCGGGTACGTCATCACCGGCCTCGTACGAAGCGTCGAAAGCCAGGGACCGAGGACGGCCGGCGCCTTCGTTCATGATTCGACAGCTACGAGTGCATGGCGTTTGAGCGAATTCGAGCGGCATACATTATGTGGAAGTTCGGGTAATCGTGTAATGCACACACAATTTGCCTCATCTCCCGAGAACAACCGTACATAACTTTTCCAGGCTATATGATACAACACTCGCCTAAGCGTGTGACGCAGTTGAATATCGGATATCGATAGGGAACCGAAATGAGCAGCAGGCATGCATTTCTACAGCATAGCTCTGGTGGGGTCACATACAAAAAGAACTTTACCATTCGACAACTGAAATTTTGCATGGACTTTTGAGAAGTGATAAACATGATTTTTGTTTCAGATCGAAGATATTATGCTCAGTCCTTTCCGCAACAGCACGCAGTGAAGAATGGGGGACAAGGCAGATGGCCACGTTCATGCGCGCACGCACGTGACGCACTTTTGTATATTTAGGCGGCGGCCGTTGTGGGGTTTATCAACGAGCATTTATGGTAAAAGACCTTTGGGTAGAACTGCAGCCTGTCTGTGTTTCTCTACGGGAACGTCCAGCTCCAGTGCTGGAATCATGGGGCAGACTGTAACACCGCTACTGCTTTCACAGAACCTCACAATCGCACCTCGTTTGTAAAAAAATATATTCCAATTGATTTGTGAGCAAGGCGGTCCTCAATTACCTCAGGCTAGCAGGATTCCACGCAGATGCTACCAATCACACTGCATCCCATTCACCCAAACGAGTTGAGTTCCAACGTGGGATAACGAAAACAAAACGCTGCGGCGGTCACATCTGTGCACTTAGCAAAGGCGAACAATGCCATTTGCTCGTACTGATGTACCACTGCTACGACCAGAACCGTCCCAGGTCGACACTTCCCACCACCCTGTCACTCCTTCGATGAGTCGTACCCGTTTCGGCAATCGCCAGACAGTACCAGGGCTGAACCGCATGGGAGCAGTGTCTTCCACCGGTTCAGGGAAAGGCGGCCTATGGAGCGTCACCGCGAAGGGTCCGGACACGCACTGAGTGTGTGTGTGTGTGTGGGGGGGGGGGGGGGGGGCGCGCAAGACGAGGCCGGCGGTGGTCACAGCCGGAAGCACCCTGGACGCGCGTCTCAGAGAGACAGGTACGGTCCTCCCGCAGACGATGCTGGCCTGGCGCCCCAGCGCAGTGTGGCGATCCGTGGGTTAAGCCGGCTCAGCAGGAGCAGCAGCCTGGATCGCACCCAACAACAGCCGGTGTTAACTCACACGTCGTGTCATCCACGGCCTGAACGCAGCTGAATTCGAGACAGAAAAATCAGACGACGGCGCACCTGCACCAATGCACCTTGTCAAGTCAGGAAACTGAGCAGAAACAAGACGAGCTAGCGCAAGGGGCGAATACATATCTCATTATAAAATAGCAAGACTTTATAATACACGGTATATCCAGCATGGCACTGCCAGATAAGCGGGACGGGCTTTCCTCCCCTGAGCGCTGGGCACCACCCTGGAAGCGGTCAGATGCAAGGCCGTCACAGCGCGGCGTCTGACGCCAGGAGAAAGCCAGCGCCGCGTCGTCACGCTGTAAAGGACGGCTGCTGGCCACCCCGCACCTGTGTCTTTGAGGCCGACCCGGCACCCGTCGACGACCTCTTCCTCAGCTCAGCGGCCGGCGGCGGCGGTTGCTGCTGCTGCTGCTGCTGCTGCTGCTGCTGCTGCTGCTGCTGCAACAAGCCACAGACGGGCTCTTGAGACGCGCGCTCGCGCAGGGGTCACGCTGGCCGGTGTGCCGTATGGACCTACGAGCCAAACGCGAGTACGCTGACCCATGCGCGGTTTCCGAACAGGTGCACCCATCAAAGGAGACCCATTAATCAATTGGGGAGGGGGAGGGGGGGGGGGGGCGCACGAGTACTGATCTGCATTCCTTCGGGTGGAACACACAATTCACCCCGTCCAATTTGGCCCCCAATGGTGAATATGCCCCCCCCCCCCCCGAACCTTCTAAAGCGTCACGATGCGCATGCAGAACACTTAAAGTGAAGGCCTAAAACTACATAAATTCTAAAGGTTTCTTATATTACTCCACAGGTAAAAGGAACAAAGAAAGAGGGCAGGTCAAACTAGAACTTCACATTCATAACATATCTACTGACGCATTCCGATTTTGCTGCAATCCGCATGTTTTAATTGTACAATTAATATGTATCGTTATTTCTGGTAAAGTTTTGTATCACTGCCTGGGTGCTTTGACATCATTTAGCGCCTTTTCAAGTTTTATGGACTGCAACAAGCTGCTTTCGTTGTGTTATTCTGTTCCGATGTATTAGCTGGGAGTTAAAATAAACCGGTAGAATATAAGCACGCAAAAATGTGACGAATTTACTAGCCGCTATGCTCGGAAGAAGGCTTGAAATGTGCTGACCTCCATTTGGACGTGAATATTCAATGAAATGGCTACGGAAACCCGACAATCGACGCCCGCAACTAAGCCGCTTGTGGTAACCGTCTGACAATGATGAGCAAAACAACACTAGACATTTCGAATATATCTATCGCAGAGTGCGTTGCAGGCTGAAGCACGTCTTGCGTCTACCTGCCGAAGGTTTCCCTGGCAGTCCTTCATAGTTACGCACACCAACTTACTCTCCATGTTTCCGAAAACATGGACGTCCAACAGCGTCTAAAGTCACGTCACATCCAACCTACGTCAATTGCCGACACCCGGCTCGACCATCCGGGCCCAACAAAATGGCAATGATGTCGACAGCATTTCCCGCCGAGATAGGGCGAGGAAGCGCATTGGAGCACGAATGTTGTTTCCTATTCAGCTGGGGATACTCTATCTTTCTAACTTTGAGAAGAAAATAGGTCCAATCCAGGGAAGCCTTTTTAGCGTATTTTTGAAGCAGGTTTTCAGTTTCCATTTTCCTGCTCGGCGCCCCAAATTTGTTTTGCGAAACTATACCCGTGTGGCCGAAGTTTAATGACCGTCACACGCCACGGATCCGCCATCACAGTACTTGACCCCAGCCCACAGCACCGCTCCCAAGAGGAAAGCACCTAAGTCAAGAGGCAGATGAATCACAATCGCTGTAAGTGATCGGTAGCTTACATCAACCACGCAGCGGCACCGCAGTATTCAAGGATTCCGACAGTATTGAAGACAAATTGGAAACTTGGTCGGATTTTCGCACTGCATGTTGAAGGCAATTTATATTTTCAGAGCTTTAATTTGGGTTTTAAGAGCTACTTCGATTCTAGCACATCAATCTGGAAACATTGTTCTTGAAAAAATAAACCCATAAATATGCATATATTGTTCAAAACGTCAAAGAACCAGGACGCATATCACCAAAATAATAGCGACAATAGAATCGGGCAACCTAAAAACAAGTTCGTCTCTGGCCCGGAAACAGAGACGGATTTAATAAGCGTTCAATCTGATGAATCGAGACGCAGTCCACCGAAAAATGGCCAACCCACATGTTTGACCAAGGACGTCAATCCTCTTGCAGAATCAACTGGTGAAGCAAATTACACAATAAACTTTGGGCCCGCGCTCACTATCCTAGGAGCAAGAATAATGATGGGCTGCGGTTGCGGTTTCCACCAAAGCCAAAGGCGCTGGCCGCTGCAGATAACGCCAGGCGTTGGGCGCCAGGTGCGCGAGTACAACCGATGTGAAATAATGCCTTCGAATCTTTCGAAGCTGATTCGCATCGTTCTTTTATGGGACTGGGACGTACATACCACCAGCAAAATTTCGAGGCTGGCCTCTGAATAGCCTAACGGTTACAGCAACACGAGAATAGAGATGTTACCTTTACTTTTCCAGTCCCACCACCAGCTTCCAGCGCCATTTCGCGGTGTTGTCAATACCAACTTGTTTTTATTGTCCATCTTAATATGGTACAGGGGAAAGTTCGCTCAGACAGTCTTCTCAACGCATTTATGTCGTAAAGCGTTCAAATCTACTTTCAGATGCGTCATCGTTTTCGTCCGCCCTTTGGCCACCACCTAGTATTAGTCGAGGGGGGGGGGGGGGGGGCGGAGGCCAGACGCCGTGCGAACCTCGGAGACCGCAACGCCGGGCTCGTTTTTTGTTTTGTTTTGTTTGTTTGTTGATGGCTATCTGATCCAACTTTCCAACATCTGGCGTGAATCATTCCGCGTGGCAGGAAGCCGCCGAGCCGATGCCCGTAGCTATGGCAATCGTGGATACAACACGGCAGTCGGCACTGTCGACCCATGCTGTGTTCACCTGACGGACAAAACAGGACCCCGCTGGTGAACCGCCGAGTAGCAGCTACATGCGCCCCTTCAACAATGTCCCGGAGCGGCGGTCGAGGGCGCGGGTTGACGGCCGACCGCCGGGCTGCCTAGCGTAAGGCACGTTACCTCGGTTCGTGAGCCGGACTTGGTGCTCGTTGAAGACTTTTTGTTCAGGCCAGTAGCGCTAGGCTGGAACACGGAATACGGAACACGGTGTAGATCATACAAAAACGGCGATTCTGGGTGCTCATTGTTGTGGTTCATATTGTAACAGACACCATCAACTTAACCGCATTTTATCGGCATCTGCCGGGACCGTGTCGATCCAGTCTACACGTATTAAGTACGTTGGACATGTACATGCATACTCACGATCTATACATACAACAAGGGGAAAGACATCAACAGCAAAATCAACGGGCCGCAGGAGCACGACACCAGTCAGTCTGCGGTGCTGCGGGCGCTCACTCAGCCCCCCCCCCCCCCCCCCCCCCCCCGGTACACTGCTGGTCTCTCGAGTAAGTCCCAGCCGTCACAGATTGCTACGCAACCCTGCCCGAGTGAACACAAGCCTTTTGTCACAGCAGCGAACCAGCACATTTTGTTTTAGTCCGGTCGCAGCAGAAGCCGCGACAAAGCGCGCCGGATATGCTGAGCAGCTAGGGTCGGCAGCGCCCAGTGGGTCAATGCGAGCGGCGTCTGACCTGGGGCGTGGGGTCGGCGCTGGTGGCGTCCAGGGCGATCTCGTCCTGCACCTCCGACATGATCTCCGTGAAGAGCACGTCCCACACCCAGGGCTTGTCCGGCTGCGGAGAGGTCAGGGAGCGCGTCACACCCTCACGGACGAGAGGACCAGGGGCCCGTCATACTCCCACGGACGAAAGGACCAGGGGCGCGTCACACCCTCACGGACGAGAGGACCAGGAGCACGTCACGCACCTACGGACGAGAGGACCAGGGGCGCGTCACACCCTCACGGACGAGAGGACCAGGGACGCGTTATACCCTCACGGACGAGAGGACCAGGGGCGCGTCACGCACCTACGGACGAGAGGACCAGGGGCCCGTCACGCTCCTACGGACGAGGGGACCAGGGGCGCATCACACCCCCACGGACGAGAGGACCAGGGACGCGCCACTCTCCCACGGACGAGAGGACCAGGGGCGCGTCATACTCCCACGGACGAGAGGACCAGGGGCCCGTCACGCTCCTACGGACGAGAGGACCAGGAGCCCGTCATACTCCCACGGACCGACACCAAGAAGCAGGCCGGCCACCAGACGGTCAGCAGACGCGGGGGGCACACCTCGGCACAGGGCAGGAAGACCCCGCTCACCGCAGACCGCTGACGGGTGCAGAGGGGGCCTCTGGCCGAGCTAAGCGCCTGGTCATGGCCGAGCTAAGCGCCTGCGGCCGGTCATTGGGAATAGTGCTGCGTCAGAACAGCATCGAAAACAAGCTACGAATACGTTGTTTGGAGAAAGTTTCACGAAATCCTGACGAAATACCCGACAACGTGATTCCTTAGCAACAGTTGCGAAAGCGAGGCTTTTCAATAACATTTCGCGAGCACGTTATCTGTGGTGCAGGCCCCATGCTAGATGCGCCCCTGCAGCGCTCCCGCCTCCCCCTCCCCTCCCCACTGGAACACTGGCCTGTTCTATGGTAACGCTGCACGAACAGCCAACGACAGCTGCGGTCGCGCCGGCCGAGCGCCAACTATGGCAGCCGCCAGCTGCTGCACAGCAGCTGACCTCGGCCACGTCGCGCGCCTCCTGCAGACAGCGTGTCAGCAGCTGAAGGTCCACCTCGTCCAGCGTCATGAACGCCGGCTTCTTCTCCAGGTCCGCGTTCAGTTCTTGCATCGTGGCCACGCGGTTGACAGGCGCTCTGAAGGTGACAGACGCATGACGACGTTGTAGCATTGTGTTAATTTGGCAGCAGCACCTGCACGTGTTTCGAGAGGTGCAATGGGGTTTCCCGCAAACCAGATGAGGCCTTCTGCGCAACTCCAGTCCCGCTGCCACTGCATCCATCACATAACGGCAAAAACTGCGGAGCAACGATCTGGATGTTTCGGGATAACCTTCTGTGATCTGGATGGGGCCTCCCGTGATCTGTGTGGGAAAAGCAACGCAATTGATTGGAGCAAATACACGTGTGGCACAAAAACATTTGACATTTCATTGACCAAGTTGTTTGCAGAGGGGGGGGGGGGGGGGGCACGCTTACGTGGGAGCAGGCGCCACCTGTAGCGTCAGGTCCTCCTCCTGCACCTCGTCCAGGTCCGGGATCATGGGGATGTCGGCCGCGTCGTCATCGTCCCAGGTGGTGAGACGCGGCTGCAGTTCCGTCTTACTGTCCACCGAGCTGGGGCACACGCAATGTTAGGGCTCGGTTCCGACACAGCGGCAGCACCAGCGGCAGCTCCCGTCCCGGCTCTCGTGCGCAATGTCAGGGCTCGGCTCAAGCACAGCGGCATCACCAGCGGCAGATCCCGTCCCGGATCTCGTGCGCACTGTCAGGTCCCGGCTCCGACACGGCGGCAGCACCACCGGCCGCTCCCATCCCGGCTCTCGTGCGCACTGTCATGTCCCGGCTCCGACACGGCGGCGGCATCGCCGGCCGCTCCCGCACCGGCTCCCATGCGCACTGTCAAGTCCCGGCTCCGGCACGACGGCAGCGCCACCGGCCGCTCCCGTCCCGGCTCCCATCACGCACCGTTTCACGGTGACGATAAAACGCGTTCGCCACATCGCGTTACATAAGCAGGATTGAACCGGCTTGGGCACTTTTTGTCCGTTTGAGCTTTGCAGCGTTAACAGTAATTAAAAAGGCCATGCAATCAAACTCATCACGAGAAGACATAACTGGATGGTTGGCAATGAAAGGTTTGGAACCTGTGGGCCCCGAGTAACAATCTCTGGCTCGTCAGCGGGAAAGAAGCCAACGTAGGAAACATCTTCTATCGATATCTAGGGAGTACCCCTAAGCTGAAGTGGCCCACGTGAGCAAAAGTGATGTAGCGCATAAGCCTCCACGCAGGATGCACGAGCCTCCAAAATTGAGATACGTAGGCGCGTGCCGTGCCCAACAGCCTATAAGCACCTACATTTGGCAGACCGCATGACTGCGCCCAAACTTGGGCGCTGGATGACTAGCGGGCACCTCAATCTCTCTGGCTCCAGTCTTGCTGAACCACAGTGTGCCAGTCAGACAATTTAACGGACTCATGCCCTTATGACAAATGCCATTTAAACACATCCACAGGCATCCCACGACGACGATGTGGGCTGGCAAAGGACGGTGGTAAAAAGACCGATGGGTGCTGCATGGCGGGCTAAAGCAATGTGACACCATGGAGGCACCAACGAACGGAAGAGAACGAGCATGCCCCGCCGCAGTGCGACATACGTGCAGCAGCAGGGCCTGCAGTAGTGCGCCACACGCGCAGCAGCAGGGTCTGCAGCGGTACGACACACGCGCAGCAGCATGCCCCGCCGCAGTACGACACACGCGCAGCAGCAGGGTCTGCAGCAGTGCGACACACGCGCAACAGCAGGGCCTGCAGCAGCACGACACACGCGCAGCAGCATGCCCCGCCGCAGTACGACACACGCGCAGCAACAGGGCCTGCAGCAGTGCGACACACGCGCAGCAGCAGGGCCTGCAGCAGTACAACACACGCGCAGCAGCAGGGCCTGCAGCAGTGCGACACACGCGCAGCAGCATGGCTCGTCGCGACTACTCACCCGGTAGGGGTAGATTCGTCGAAACCAGCTCTCTGGCGGCGGCCGGGCGGGCCCCGTGGCGGACCCTGCGGTGGTCCCCGTGGTGGTCCCTGCGGTGGGCCTTGTGGAGGCCCCTGCGGCGGGCCCTGCGGCGGGCCCTGCGGCGGGCCCTGCGGCGGACCCTGTGGCGGGGCCTGTGGCGGGGCCTGCGGGCGAGCGGCAGCTGGAGGCGCTCCCTCCGCGGCCTCCGCGGCGTGCTTCTTTTTCTTCTTCCCCATGTCGCCACAGCTCTGCAGAAGAAGGCGCCTGTTGCACTCCCCATGCACATGGTGTACGCTTGGTACCCACCCGCTCTTTGCTCAACCTTCCGCTCCCACCACGGCGGGATTGGATAAAGCCCTGTCATGAGCTAGTGCAAATAATCCGTTTGAAGTGAATTTTTGTCCCAGAGTGTCATACTTCATCGCTGATTAGTCACACACTGCGCACAAATGGCACAAATACCATTAAATCTCTTCCAGGATATTTACAGACTATTACTTTAAGGTATTCAGGGCATGGCGAAGGTATGACCTGAATAAAGACGCACTACGTAAAAAAGTCGTCGCTGTCCTATCTACTTCGATTGGCGTGAACACTAGACCCAACGTGTGGCGGGAGACGCCGGAAAGGGAAAGGGATTGGACGGATCAACATTCGTGTCCGGCGCTGAAAACCATTGGCGAAATTCGTAACGCCTCAGCTGCGAATATTGAAGCTCATAGTCAGCTGGAACCTAGTCAGAGAAATGGAGGGGGAGGGGAAGGAGACATACTTGTAACGGAGGTCGGGGCGGACAGGAAACATTCCAAGCTCGCCCCCCCCCCCCCCAACGTATTGCTTTTAGCTTTTGGGCTGACATGTATGTGAGCGGGGGGGGGGGGGAGGGAACTGGAAATTAGGACGGGGAGTGAGCTGTGCGCAACACTCCCTTACATGCAAAGCCACACCCATGTTTGCCGGCGCGAGCTTGAACGGCACAATCGCGGCGTAGTCTTGTAAACTGATTGCGTGTGGGAAGGGGGGGGGGAAGGGCTGAACACTGAAAAATATCGCAACTCGCTATAAGATACCCCGACGAACAGAGTTTCCATTGGATTTGGCCCACTTTCCTCTGAGTTTCAGAGCTGGAGGGCTCCAGTCCCCCTCAAAATGAAAAGGAAACTTCACGCCTGGGATCAATGTTAAATCCTGGACAGTCCACCGCTCTTACAACCCGAGCTCTTGGAGCCCTGTCCCGGGCGCGCAAATTCTCCCCAAGCAACATACATTAACCAATATCTGGTATAATAATTACCAGATATCCAACAAGCCTGCGAACCCAAAACACGCCCAACACACAACAGTACACAACATACAAGTATACCCTTGAAATGACTACGATAGCTGCTTAGGAAAGGCCAAGTGCTTTTTTAATCACGTGCCTAGGTCAGTATAATGCAAAAAGACTGATGTTTTTGCCATTCAAAGAAAACAACTGTAGAGTGGTCAAAATGCAACTCAAGCATTAAATATTATTAAAATCGAACAAGGTAAAAAACTGATTACCTAGGGTCAACAACCTATAATTATTCCACAACATTCATTGAAGACATATATGACGATTATGCGACGAACTACAAAAACAGTTCTGCTTGCTTACGTTGCCGGTTCCAATGAGCGGAATGGCAGATTTGGTGGCGTTTGGTTAGAGTTGTAAACAACATTGTTGTGGGAGGGGTGATGTGGGGCCGTGGTATGAAAAGTGTGTGTGTTGCCTAGCTCTTTTTTTGTTTGGAATAAAACGCATCATTCAGTCGGATCTCATCGAGGTAAGATGTATGTTCAAAGGTGAATGTCAGTTCAGTAGTAAGTGGGGTCATAAGTTGTTTCCCTGTCACATCCAAAAACTTTACTTTCAACTTCAGGTGATGTGTGCGATGCCTTCAATTTGATATGGTTGAGATATTTGTTTCATCTCTGTTTTTGAATGCTGTGTTTACATGTGTGCTTGTATACACATGCATTTTTGGTGGCACAGTTTTAAAGATAAATATACCTATGTGTATAACTTGCTCTCACCTGTTATTAGCATTTGAAAACATTCAGAGCTCATTTTTTTAGTTTTCAGTATAAATTCTAGCTATGCCACTGCTCTTCCATTCATGTTTACTCATACATATAATAGGTCAGGCTCCAGAATTCACAGTGAGTATGGCTAAAGTCATGTTTAATTATCATTTACTGTTAAATGGTTAGTTTGATTCAGTTGCCATGTCTGAAATTGATTTTTGTTTCATAGGTATGAATACATTATTCTCTCTATAAATGCAAAGAAAGACTCCCACAATGTCAAAATGAAGCATTTCCAAAATGATTTTGCCAATCATGTCAGATTATTTAGGTTAACCAGCTGCTTGAGATTTGGGTTATGATAAATTTTTGTGTGTACCTTTATACTTGTATTGAAATAAAATTCTCACATTGCTTGTATTTCTCCTGTGGTTAAAAAACTGCCATCTTGTCCATGGTTTGAGCCCTGGGGCATGTGCGTGAGGATTCACTTCACATAGGTATCAAATATTTGACTGATTAGTTTGGATGTGGGAGGTACAGGGCCCCTCATCATTTTGCTTTAGAACAAGGCCTAGATGGGAAATAAGGATAGGTCTAGCTTAATCTTTAATTTTATATGGACAGGATCAATTTGTAGCAGTTGAGAAAAATAATAAAAAATCCCAACTTAGCTCCTGATCAATCCATGTGTGCTAAGTTTCATCCTTTGATAGGTTATTCTAAGACCCTGAGATGTGAAGGTTTGAGTAATGCATAAATGTTACATGTAAATGATGTTTCCTTTTCTATTTTGTGAGCCACTCATTCTAAATATCCCAGCTATTTCTTGTATAAAATTAGCTGCATGTCAATGATTGGGACAAGCTATGAAACAAGGTAAAAGTCTAGCCACCATTGCACAGCTTTGAAAGCCAACTCATGAATGTACCGTATTATATGGGTGCAATACCGACTGTTATGACCCATATATAACTGGTAAAGGAAGCATCCCACTGTTTTCATACTTTTACCCATTGTTATATCAGACAGATATGATTTGGTGAGGGATACCAGTTTTCTCAAATTCCTTTGGAAAAGCTCAGATTTAAATTTGACTTAAACCCTGCTAGAGAATCCTTATTTGACTCCTTACTTACCACTATGAAAGTAACACACTCCATTTGGTTTGGTTTTCCAATGTGTGCAATCTGTAATGTTTGCAGCACACATATGTGTCACGATGTTTGTGTACATTGCTACAAATGCAATGCTACTAAAACCTGAAACACACTGTTAAGACAAAAATATATGCAGACCCAAAGCTATTATCCAGGGAGTTCAATGAAGCCTTATACTATCGCTCTAGTTACGCCCCACTGGCATTTATCGCAGTGGCCCTTTTAGAGGCGCATTTTGGCTTTGGGAAATGGGAGTATCACATGGTCCATTTGACACACTGGTTCAAAGTTCAGCCAACCAATTTGTCGGTAACAGGCTGTTACCCGTTGGGACAGTCGCAAGCATCCTTTAACTCGCGCCAATAGAGATGCGTACAGTCGCCATGACGATGGTGGTCGTGACTGCACGAAAGGAGCGCAGTGTTGTTACGAAGCCTTGGCAACGTAATTTGGACTAAAAAATAACCAGGATTGATATCTGTATTGTGTTAACGGTGCTGTGTCGACACTACCGAGGGCTAGCGTTAGACGTAAAAAGTCGTGAGTTTTCACTATAGCGTGCTTTTGAAACATGCCCCAAGGATGGAACAATGTGAAGTCAACCCTTTCTCTTATCAATAAGCATACAATTGAGGTGAACCCATAGTAAAATAAAATATCCTTTTTTACCTTTAGATGCCTATGTCGTAGATGCCTATGTCGTTATCTGAACCTGTTTCATGTCATAGATTCCCATTCACTAAATTGCTTACGAGTATCACATCTCACGGGCTTGCCTGGTATCGATGTTTGGTGGGCGATGCAACTGATTTACGACCCTGATGGCTGGCCAGATACTGACGCGTCTCGGGTGTGATAAGCCTGCCCAGCCGCGTCACTTTTACGTCACATCAAGCCACAAACACTTCATCTGTACCCAGATGAGACGTGATGTCAGTGTTATCGAGACAGTGGCTCGTGCTGGGCCGACGATTCTCCCCTGGTGGCTGCGTTAGACGTCTGACCTGGCTTGGGCCGTGGCACAACTCATCTGACCTTGTCAATATCCACAGGAGCACTGGTGCGGCGCTGGAGGCTGTTGGAAGATCCGCCCAACTATCTTGCCTGTCCAGGACGTAAGTGTGCAGTCCATCTTCCGGCTTCGTGGCTTTCTGAGACTGTACTATCCCCACTGCGAGCGCACTGAACACTGCAGACGCTCGAAAACTCTTCCGACACCGCCCTGTCGACCACATCGTCCCAGCTCTGCGCTCATCTGCTGCCGCGGACGTGCGTGCTCCACAGCGCGGGCTCGCGGGCCTCGGTGTCTGGACGCGTCGGCTCTGGACTGGGACGGCGGTGCACCGGGCGCCGCTCCACGCCGCTGTGCGTCGCCGCCTGCTCCCGTCGTCCGTCGCTCGGTCGGCGCACCAGCGGCTCCCGGGCGCGGCGACGGCCGCTATTGATCATGGAGCGCGCCGGCGCGTGCCCGCGGTCGTCGGCCGGCGCGGGCGGTGACGCGCCGCCGCCACCGACGGCCGACGACCGGCGCGCCGTGTACCTCGAGGACGTGGCCAAGGAGTTCTCCAGCTGGCTGTTCTGGCGCGACCCGGGTGCGGCCGGTCTGCCGCCGCCCGACAGCGCGCCGGCTGCCGATCGGCAGCAGCGTGGCTTCCAGGTGGTGACGGCACAGCGCGTGCTGGTGTCGAGCGACGAGGCGGCTCTGCTGCCGGCGCCGCGCCCCGCCGGCCGCCAGTGCATCCCCAGTCCGACCGAGGAGCTGCTGAGCGAGTCCAGGCAGCGACTGCGCGCGG